ATACCCGTCAGCTACCTCTGGGGTCCCACAGGCCATAAAGGCCCGATAGGACTCCTTCTTCAGCTTGACGGCATCCCTTACTGCTGGTGTCAAAGCCCCAAAGCTTTATAAGCCCCAAAATGTCAATCTCGGTTGACTGTTTGCCTTTTGTTTTTTTCACGTTGTAAAAACAGCACTTAGCCTATTTCTACTCAAATTCAGGTAAATGCTTATGTGAAGTTCAAATACATGAAAAATCTGACTTTCAAGTCCGATGAACGAAGTGTACTCTGTTTACGTTTTTCCCTCTGTGACCTCTTGTTCCAGGTGTCATTTCGATACCATTGTCAGCTGTACTCGGAGTGGAGGAGGACCAATCAGAAAGTGCGTCTGCTCATGCCTGACATGAAAGGCATACTCCCCACCCAAAGTTCTGTGCCGACCAAGTCGACAAAGAAAATGACTGATGAGACCATCGTATGAGTGTGGCTCGGAGGCAAGGGGAATATTTAAAATCAAGCCAGCCGAAGCACTCTGGGAGTTAAAATTTTTTTTTTTTAAAAATCCACACACACAAAAAAAATCTTGTTAAAGAACCTTTGCACTTCATATGGACCATCATGAAAGGGTGAAGACTATTTTCTCCCGTTTTTGTCTTTGTATTGAAGCACTTGATGTAAACTACAGTATTGGTGAGCCACAAATGTGGTTTGAGGATGAACTCGTGCCAGAGTCAGGATGAATTTGGGTAACGTCTTGTCTGGACCGCTGGTGCTGAGACGTCAATGTCAGAAAAACAAATGAAGATGGACTAACCAGCCCGGCCTTAAGTCTCTTGACAAAGGTATGAAATACTAAGACGCAAGCTAATGTAGCAGGATATAACTGACAGCATGCTACGACAGTATAATATGAAACATATTCACTACCTACGATTCCCCACACGCACCGTCACAATCTATTTAGCGGTTATTAAGATGGGCAACCTTCACCTTGGCAAATGATGCTCCCACCCTGACTTTTCAGTTGGGTTCATTTACAGTATGTTGAGTTTGAAACTATTAGTCGCTAATCTATGCCCTGTATCACAGACATTTGGAGAATGAGAGGAGGGATCATCCCTCCAATTGTATTTTTATTCCCCAGTTGAACCTTTGTGTTCCAGTGTGCATTGATTCTTGCTATGTATTAAAAAAAAAAAAGGAAAAAACGGGACAGTTAAGCCGTTACCACTCGAATGTTGCCAATTATTTTAAACAAAACAACGGGGGGAAAACTTACCCATTCTTGGAAGCAAGTTTTAAGATGGGGAAACAAGAAGTGTATCGAGAAAATCTATTTTGAGACAAATAGCGCCATCTGTGGCATGGGGTGCAGCGAGCACCCTTGTTGGCATTTTTTGAAAAGACCCTCATCTGCTTTATGGCTTTTAAACATTTCAGAAATGTTCATTTGTGTGACGATCCTCACCCTGTTTTCTATCAAATTGTGATCACAATCACCTTTTCTCTCTCTCTCTCTCTCTCTCTCTCTCTCTCTCTCTCTCTCTCTCTCTCTCACACACACACACACACACACGGTCATTTTCATTGTTATAATCGTACTACTTGTCATGAAGCTTCCCATCTCCATTTATTTTGCACATTACAAACTTTTATTGTCAGACATGTAGGTCTGTAGTGGGGTTCAAGCCAAGTTGAGTTAAAAGAAATATTTGCTTTTTTTTTTTTTAATTGTTTCACATTTTGTGTACAAGTTTTCAGATTTGGGAGTCGAAATGAGTATTTATGAATATTCGTGTCAAGTCGGGCAACAGTCCGACACCCCCACTAGTCAATCATAGCATTAGATGCTAACTGCGCACATGAAATAACAGTGCAGCAAGTGTGCATACTTTGTGGACTTGGAACTTGCCATAAAAGAAGAACCCCTGTGGTCTTGCCTCACTTCTAAAGCACCATATGTAAACTGCGATATTGACTAGTAGAAATATCCCATTTCTAAACAAAGAAATACGGACAAACTAATGTCGATGCTTGCAGGTATTGTGTCAGGGTGCCACGGTAATTGTCAAGTTTTTGGGCAAGTGAATATTTTGTGTCAACCTGCTGCATCCTTGGAAAGTTGGTTTCCTGTGCAATAAAGCTTGAGGGACTCCCAAACTCATTGTGAACTGTATGCTTACCTCTAAAGCTGGTGTTTTGTTTCTGTTGAATGTTGTCTCCACCTGTAATGCGGTGCATCCAGTGGCGGACCCTGAGGGCCAGCAAGGCCTTCTCTGCTGGCCTAAACATTCTCAGAAAAGTAAATTTACTTTTATGTATTTTATGTTATTTTATAATTTATTTTATTTTCATAAATATGTAAACAAAATTATTCTCTGTATTCTTTACGT